GGTGGGGTCACAAATTGATAACGACTGATAAGCGTAGATAAGAGGCGCTAAAACATAAATTTCACGAAATTCATAGTGCGCTTCGCAGCAGTCGTCAGGAGCTGATTTTGGGACATGATTAGGGGGTGGGACGGGAACATATTTGGTGGGGTCACAAATTGATAACGACTGATAAGCGTAGATAAGAGGCGCTAAAACATAAATTTCACGAAATTCATAGTGCGCTTCGCAGCAGTCGTCAGGAGCTGATTTTGGGACATGATTAGGGGGTGGGACGGGAACATATTTGGTGGGGTCACAAAGTGATAACGACTGATAAGAGTAGATAAGAGGCGCTGAAACACAAATTTCACGAAATTCATAGTGCGCTTCGCAGCAGTCGTCAGGAGCTGATTTTGGGACATGATATAGGGGGTGGGACGGGAACATATTTGGTGGGGGTCACAAAGTGATAACGACTGATAAGAGCAGATAAGAGGCGCTGAAACACAAATTTCACGAAATTCATAGTGCGCTTCGCAGCAGTCGTCAGGAGCTGATTTTGGGACATGATATAGGGGGTGGGACGGGAACATATTTGGTGGGGTCACAAAGTGATAACGACTGATAAGAGCAGATAAGAGGCGCTGAAACACAAATTTCACGAAATTCATAGTGCGCTTCGCAGCAGTCGTCAGGAGCTGATTTTGGGACATGATATAGGGGGTGGGACGGGAACATATTTGGTGGGGGTCAAAAGTGATAACGACTGATGAGGACTGATATAACGATATGCGTACGAACGTAGAGAGCACTTGAAATAGAAATAGAGAGCAGATTGTAGATAATGCCTTTCATTTCAATATCATTTCATTCAGCGTTGTAATTGTAAACTCAAACACCTTTCGACCGCTACACCTTCTAGAGTTCTTGAGGATGAATGGGATGCTCGAATAAATATGATAATGAATACTAGGCATTCCGTTTTGAGATATTCGACCGCTAAATTACCTCGATACTCGACGCATAGTGGTTGTTTACATCATCACTTTAGCTGTGCACTTCACTGCGCTTATCAAACAGTGAGATACAGCCAGCCTATGCAACGGACAGTAATACATTTAACGAAGCAGCTATAATTTAGCGGTGAAACCTAAAGCTTCATCGATTGTCAGTTCTATCAATGCGCGCGGTAGCGGGCGGAGCTAAACTGGTAAAGATATAAACGAAGAGTGCCTGCGCGCAACATGTGCGGAACCCAAGAAGCGACTACTGGCATGAATTCGTTGCATTGAAGGGCATTATTGGGCTGTTCCATATTATTGTACTACATGATGTGATTTAACTTATATATAAATTCAATCGGTATTCTCCGTTTGAAAGCTTGAAATGTATTCTCTGAGTATGTGCCATAATTTTGGGACACCCTATACTATTACCCTTACATGCTCCCACCCATTTAACGATGAAGTCTCAGAGATAAAGCTCCAAGTCAGTTTCGTTCCACTTGTTCGTAGCAAGCCAGCGTCTCCTTCGTTCTCGGACCTGCGACATAGCTCGCTCTCGTTCTTCATCCACTGCTCGTGAAAAGCTCAGCAGTCGATCGTCGATTTCCTGGCGAGTCGCTAATAAATTCTTGTCGTATTGCCACGTTGTGTTCCTTGAAGGATTGCTTGCTACTACAGAGTACTTCAGTCGGAAAACTTCAATCTCACTCGTGCTAATATGGTGAACGTGAAGAATCGTAGAAACCCACAAAGTGATCCTATTGTCTGATATTACTAGCGCGCCAGGATTGAGTATGAACGCAAAAAATTTCGACGCGTAGGGTCACGGTCATTTCATAGGTTCTACTAAGATTCTTATGCGCGTTGTAGAGTCGAAACTGAATATTTGTGGTCTCCACAGTAGGAGTAGATCTACTTGCGAATAACATGTAAAATTATAGTATCACCTCCTTGTGCAGAGCTCTAGCACGATAGGTCCGGCTAGAGGATTGTACCACTCGCCGTTTGTTCGCGATACCAACCTGCAAATAAAGATGTATTTCCAGAAATGGACCACAAATGAATGGGATTAAGCTGTAGATTACGAAATTAATCAGGTTCGATGAAGGATAGTGGAATTCCAAAGCCCAAAGAAAAAATTCTCAAACGGTAGTGGAATCGTGGAGTATGTTCGTAATTGCTTCAGTTTCCAGTTGTGTATGAAGAAGTCACGTTCGTCACTCCACTTGCTGTTTGTCATCCAGTTATCGCGGACCCATGCAGTTCCCTACAATGTTATAGTTCCCTATAGTTATACGATATATTTTCAAGAGAGAAACTGCTGGATTTATCAAAGAGGATTGGTAGATTACACAAAAATCTCGTTTCTGAGACGCTTTTCGAAGACAAGTACAAAACTTGGCGCCCAGTCCGAATTAGGCGCTTCGCTGCTCTTCACATCCGTCCAAAGAAAATAGTGCATTGAAGTGCTGCATTGCAGGGGTGCATGGAGCAATCCTTTTCAGGATGCGCCATGCATCCCAATTTCAGTTCTGATAAGAGTGGCACTTGAATGTGAAACGGCTTAGGGAATCGCTTGTAGACGCTAACTTGCACAGGTCAGTGGTTTTAATCACAGAACAGAATCAGATCCTTGAAGCCGGGTAGGATGTATGACTTCGACGGCCTCAGCATATTCGGTTTCTCACTTTTTGACCACGGAGGAGGTGAGTGGCGCTGCATATAACTACATTATCTCAGGCAAGGACGTATGAAATCTTCGATGATTAGACCCTGAGATTGTGAAGGCCTCCAAATCTGTGAGTTATACAAGGGAGTAAGAGTGGTCTGCCATAAGCTGCCATCGGCTTATATGCATTGAATAGAATGAAGTGTGACGGGAGTGTGACATGAAGCATGACTGTCTGACCAGAAGAAAAGGGGTGAAATATAAGTCGAATCAGCCGGAAAGGGTCAATCATTGATAATTCTTGAAGGAATCGTAAACGGACAACAAACATACTAAATAGTATCTACCTATAAATCACTGACTCAGAGCCCATCATCCACGATAAAAAGGAAAAGAATAAAAAATTATATTTGTTTCCCGTAAACAATTCGAAAAACCCTAAGGACTGTTACGCGTTTTAATTCCCGCGGTTCATCTGTCACAAATGTTGGCGAAAAAAGCTTTGTTTTCGGAGTGCCCTCACCGAGAGCTCTTTTGGCTTTCTCCACCAATAGATAACATTACTCCTCTTTATTGTGCATCCTATTCTAACGATCGTATTGCCCTATTCTCCAGATTTGAGCGCTACCCGATTCCTTCAATGGCGGTGAACTTGTTTCCTCCTATTCCCTTACCATAGCGCGACCTACCCTCAAACGGCCTTAAAGTGTAGTAGTTTTCATTAGTGGGTTCGCTTTGGGAATTAAATATTCTAGCGTGAAATTTGTGCGTTATATCTAACAATCAGCTTTCATTTCTTTTGATGACATGATCATGTTGGAAGCGAATTTCCCGTGAACGATTTCTAGAAAGTGTAGTTTAACGTTAGTTTTCCTACCTTAGGCAAAATCTTAATCTTTCCAAAGCTGGGATCAGTACCCAGGAGATCTCTTATGCACGCCTCGTATGCGAATAAGTCACCGTATCCTTTAGAGTTGTTGTAAATCCAATGGCAGATCGCCAAATCGACACCAGCGACAGGTAGGATGAATTCAGCAAGGTACGCCTGTAAAAACTGCTTTACGAAACCTTTTAAGACCAACTCTAACAGTATTGATCCAACAATATTGCAAGAACGATAATACCGAATCTTTTTTGTAATATTACTGTAAGGATTATAGATAATGGAAAGCCGATAGTATAATACCTCACCATCTCAAAAAAAATCCCGCCTTCCCAAGTATATCTTTGTGTTTGGCCGTTTTCTTAATGGTGGCGTGCTTCTAGTATCGCGTGGAGACGTAGAGATTTTATCGCGGTAAATTTCACAGTAGGACACGGTTCGATGAATTTTGGCATCGCGTGTGGTAATTTTCTTATGGTTAGATTTGCTTTGAAACCGCTAGCCAAGATGACACAGAACTTTGTTCGGTAACACATAGGATTGGTCGCCTCGTCAGAGCCTGGAAAGTCAAAGGCTTACCGCAGGCATCATCTCCAGCTTCGAGATAGTCCCTATAGACCAGCTGCCAGGGACATCGTAAAACACAAGCACCAGCTCTTATAGTAGGTGGTCAAAAAATAACGTTGGTACCGATGTTTCATGCTTCACTTGATATT